CTTGGGAGTGGGCATTAGAGATTAAAGATTCACAAGTTGGAAGAAACCAGGGTCTCTGAATGACTCCCTGAGCAGAGCTCTCCCTTCTCTACCATGACCCTTAAGTCTTTTCAGGAACAAGAAATAAACTTGCATTGTGTTGAGCCATAACATGTTCAGGTCTATTTGTTGTCATAGCTTATCTTAGCCATCCTGTATTTCATATAGCCTGTGAATCTAATGATGGAGTGAGAAACACTGTATGTCAGAGAATTCAGTAAGAGAGAAACCCCTGTCAATATCCTGCATTTTAATAACCCTTCATCAGCAAGTAAAACATTTTGTAAATCAGATATTTACCATGGAAAAACCCCAAGATGAAATGGCTGTAGGAAGATTTTCACAAAGACACAGATTTTACTGAACATCAGATAATTGAGAGTAGAATAAAACCTCATAATCTCAAAACACATTTCAAACTTTGTATATCAGAGAATATGTGACAGAAGAAAATTGTCAGCTTTAGAAATGTTGGGGCGGCTTCCCTGGTGGTGCAGTGGTTAAGAATCCGCCTGCCAATGCAGGGGATGCAGGTTCGAGCCCTGGTCTGGGAAGATCCCACATGCCACGGAACAACTAAGCCCGTGTGCCACAACTACTGAGCCTGCGCGCCTAGAGCCTGTGCTCCGCAACAAGAGAAGCCACGACAATGAGAAGCCCGCGCACCGCAACGAAGAGTAGCCCCCGCTCACCACAACTAGAGAAAGCCCGCGCACAGCAACGAAAACCCAACATGGCCAAAAATAAATAAATTCATTTAAAAAAATGTTGGGGGAATCTTCATCTGGAAATAATATAATTCTAGAAGCAAGGTTTTGGATGCAGTACCAAATATCTTATTAGAAATATAACACAGTATGTTTACTTAGTCGTGCTCACCATGGAATATGTAGCTTTAAAAAAGGCACAAATGAGTTGAAGCATCAGAATAGCAGCTTTCAATGTGTATGTAAATAGCCTCTGAGCTATGTCAGGCTGATACACATAAGTATGCTCTTTAACATCTATTTCATGTATGTTTGATTTTTGTTTTAGACCCCAAAATAATCGTAGTGGAATGATGACGCTTACCTAAATAACTTTATTTATATCAGGGTTTCCTACACTAAATACTATTGTTGTTTCATCACATATTTACACAACATATACTTTAGAGGACGCATTGAATGCATAAAATGCCACATGTCCTGTGTTCTCAACTCTTTGGTGACATATATAAATGGGTATAAACATTGTTACCAAACTGTCCTTTCAGTAAATGACCCAAACAATGTTTAATAGAATCAAGGTTTACTTAAAGTATGCAACGAACCAGCACACAATTGTTTATAACACACATCTGAGTTAATGTTCAAAAGTAGCCTTGAACATTAGTACTTATACTTTACACATTAAAAACAGCACTTGTTGAAGAAGTTACCCCCATTTTATATTTTTTATATGTCTAAGTGATATGCTTATATAAATTTAGGTGTGAAGCCCAGATTTTATGTGAGCTAAGAACTATCTGTGTTTGTATTTAGTGTGGTAGAATGCCACAGTTTTCTTCCTTGAATTATGTGACATGGCATTGTTTTCTCAGACAAGATGTTCTATTTCTGCCACTTATCATTTATGTGACCTATGTAGTGATTTAATCTCTCTGTGCCTCAGTTTCCTCATTTGCAAAATGGAGATACTATTACCTACTTCACAGATACTGAATAGTTTGACTTGGAGTGTTCTGTTATAGCCAAAGGCATTTATGTTCAGAACTTGAATTTTAGAAATAAAATTGTCTATCATTCCGTTGTTTGAAAGCAATTTCTATTTGTTAAGTTGATACAAGAGATTCTTTTTAGAACTTTCCATTTTGGCAGGTGTCTTCTCTTTAAAACATATGAAACAAATATGTTTTAAGTTAAATTGAATGATCAACTGATCCCCTTCTGTTAGTGCTTGATTAAATATGGTGCAAGGTAAAGACCCAACTTTGTTTTTTTCCAGATGAATAGCCAGTTGATCTCTCACCGTTTGATTTATTCACCCTATTTCACTGATTTGAAACCCCTTTTTAAATTGTATGCAGGACTTCCCTGGTGGCGCAGTGGTTGAGAGTCTGCCTGCCAATGCAGGGGACATGGGTTTGAGCCCTGGTCTGGGAGGATCCCACATGCCGCGGAGCAACTAAGCCCGTGCGCCACAACGACTGAGCCTGCGCATCTGGAGCCTGTGCTCCGCAACGAGAGGCCGGGATAGTGAGAGGCCCGCGCACCGCGATGAGGAGTGGCCCCCGCTCGCCGCGACTGGAGAAAGCCCTCGCACAGAAACGAAGACCCAACACAGCCAAAAATAAATATAAAAATAAATAAAAATGTTAAAAAAATGTATGCAGAATTACCCTTTAAAGTGGCTATTGTATTTTTAGGCTCCGCATTCCTGTCCACATTATTTTGCTGGTGCATAATCCAGATGGGCCAATTATAGGACACTGCCTGCCTTGAATGGAGTCCTTCAAGCTGAAATGAAAAGATGCTAATCAGCAACGTGAAAACATATGAAAATACACAGGACACTGGTAAAGGTGAAAATAGACTTAGAAAACTGTAACTCTGTATTAGGATTGTCTGTTACCCCCTCAAATATATAGAAGTTAAAGGAAAGTAGTAGTACAAATAGCTACTGTAACTATATTCTGAGTGGATTTGGTGTGTATATGTATGCCATATTTGGAAAAAAACATGCAGTGTGGAAATGTGCAGCATTTTATGTATGTAGGCATATATTATCTGACAGAACATGTGAAGTCCTTAATCAGGTAAGACATTATTAATAATGAGATGATTTTATGAGAGAATATTTATAAATTTGAGCATGTGATTTTTCCCCATCTCAGTGACTACCTCTGGGTGCCTGACTCCTAATGAAGTCACTGGGAAAACTGCTTATCCGGGGATTTCCAGCGAGGCTGAGTATCTTTTTACTCCAGCTGACTAAAAAATCCTCTTGATCCTGGTGAAGTTGACTCAGTTTATACTGGGGTTGGGCCTGGGTAACAGGTGTCAGCCACCCTCAGTATTGAGGAGAGGTATTTAAGGACAGGAACATGAAGGCAGAAGCAAATAAGATTGTCAAGTCTGTCTGGTGACAGCAGCCCATCATTTTCCAGTCTGACCCTGGGCCACTATGTGTCCAGCCAGAGAAGCTAAGCCTGCCATGATGGGTCCCTGCTGAAGGCGGCTGTCTTGCTGCACCCAGCACTGTGGTTACGGGTGTGGACAGTGGAGCCAGTGTCTGAGTCTGTTATCCCAACTCCAGCTCCTGCTACCTGTATGGCCTTGTGTCACTGTGTCCTGATCTAGGCCAAGGACTGGACACCTCTCATTGGGATTGTTTTGGAAATTAGAAACCATAAGATCTTAGGAAGTTTTTGCACATCCCTCCCTATGTGGGGGCAGTTTTCTTCTGGCCACCCAGAGAGTGCTCATTGGTGTGTACACAGGCGCACGCGTGCGCACACACACACACACACACACGCACACCTGCAGAGTGACATTAAATAAGGACTATGGGGTGGGATCAGAAGAGGACATGCCTGAGGACATCCCTAGAAATACATGCTAGAATCATCCCCACTGGGAAGGTGGGGGGAGAGAGACAGGCCTTGAGAGGCCCAAGTGTTACCGAAACGCAAGTCCATGTGCCCAATGCACAGTGAGGCCAAACGATACCAAAACGCCGGAGTTAGGAACAGAGAAAGGTTTATTGCAGGGCCATGCAAGGAGATGGGTGGCTCATGCCTTAAAAAAAAAAAACCGGAACTCCCTGAAAGCTTTCAGCAAAGCCCTTTTACAGGAAAGGTGAGGAAGGGGCGTGGTTAGTTGTTGCAGACTTCTTGGTGTCAGATCCTTTGTTCCTGAGGTCAGGTCATAGGTCACGATGTTCCTTTAAACCTCCACCGAAACAAATGTTACTCTGTTCTACAAGAAAGGGGAAGGTCGCAAGGCACAGCTTTCACCCTTCGAGGTCCAGGCCTGGCTGAGAGAAGGGGGTCCCTGCGCGGGGGGCGGGGGGCGGGTTACCCTGCCCCAGAGCGTTCGTCCAGCACCCAGTCTGCGTCCTCCCACCAGTGCCCAGGCCCGGCTGAAGAGGCAGATCTCAGATGGTGGCTCCCTCAGGGCCGGGTCCCCAGACCCTGCCCAGCCGTCATCGCTGAGGGAGCCAGGCACCCAGCACTCAGCTGGCCCTCAGGCTCCTCAGGCTGCCCAAATGGTGGGGGCCGGGTCCCCCAGACTGTGTCCCATGCAGCCTGCCGCTGCCATTAGGTCACAGAGGCAGGGATGGGGGAGAGGTTGGTTCACTGCCGCCTCAGGGCCTGGGCCCGGCCAGGGGGCGTCCTGGCGAGGGCTCTGGAGCCCTGCAGGACACACCCCCAGCCTGTTCCCTGGGCCCCCAGCTCACCCGCCAGCCCGAGGCCGGGGAGCTGGAGTGCCCCAGGGAGAAAGAAGGCCGGGATCTGCCTCTTACTCTCCACCTGACGACCACCACTCCCCAGACCATTGGCTCAATGCCCCCACTAAGGGTCGCTCAATGACAGTTGCTCACTTAGAGGGGGGGCCCACTGTAGCGCCGACCAATGGCTGAATGGGGCCCTCTGTGGTGCTGACCAATGGCTGAGCAGGACCTCTAACGCGGCTCTAACCGTCCCGCATTAACGGTCTCCCGGTAACTGTTGCTTGGTAACAGCGTGGGGGAGGTGGGTAACTCTCGCTGCAATGGCCTAGTGCTAAGGGATGCACACTGCAGCACGATATTACACTAGGAATTATCCAGGATGGAGAACAGGTAAAATGGGGAATTGAGTCTGGAACCCAGGTCTGCCTCCTCAGAGCTGCGCACAGATCCTCCCTGGAGCGGTGGAGAGGGCTGTGAGGTGTGACTGTGTGAGATATGGGGTTGTGTGGAGAAGGGGTGAGCCGTCGGCAGCCCAGAGGGCTGTGTGTACCAGTGTTGTCTGAGGAGGGGATTCAAGTAAGGGGCCCCCAGGAAGTGAAGTCACCTCCTTGGCAACAGACCCCAACAGAACTCTGAGCCCCGGGAGCCAGGCACACACGTTCTAGCGACAGCCCCACAGCCGGCTCACTTGGCTGGAGACGCTTCACAGAGACGGATGTTCTCCTGCTGTGTCCTGACTTCCCAGGGCTTCTGCTTCAGGAAACCTCTGAGTGGGAGGTTTCTCATATGCGTTAGACAGTTCAATGCTTAACCTGGACGACTCTGGTCCTTTACCAGGAGGTCCCTAAGGGAACACGAGGTGGCCTAGAGCAGGCCAATCCAGGCCTGGCCGCGTCTGGGAGTCCTCCCTGGGCAGCCTCACATCCTCACATCTCCATGTTGGGGGAAGGGGGACTTGAGGGGAGGTTTCTCCTCTGGGCAGGAACGGGTGGATGGGAACTTGGTCAGCTGGTGGTCCTGTCATGATCACACTCAAGCACAAGGGTGAGAGAGGATTCCTGAAGTGCCTTTTATCTGTGCCAGCGTGGATCCAAGGCCCTCAGGCTGTCATCTTTTTTCCCTCTTTGGAGGAGGTCTGTGCAGAGAGTGGTGTGCGTGTGTCTGCAGTGGACATGGCTGGTTTGTCTGAGGGGCAGCGCAGGTGGCAGGCAGGGCTCTGAGGCTTCCTGCCTGGCTGCCAGGCACTGTGTTCACAGGGCTCCACACAGGAGATGGCACAGGACCCGGTCCATGGCGCCCCCTGCTCCATCTCCCTGCAGGAGGGGCAGGAGCCCCACACCAGCAACAGAGCCCAGGGCAGGCTCAGGGTGAGTGCCAGCGAGGAGGAGACTGCACACCCAGGAAGCCCCAGAGCCGCCCTGCCCCTCCCCTGGGTCCCTCCTGGCGTCCTGCTCCCAGAGGAATCTAGGCCCCCATCTCCTCTCCCGCCAGCCCTCACGGCCCAGGCCCTGCCCGGTCCAGACGCAAAGTCATTAACCACATATACGTGGGAATCTCAGAAAGAGACTTTCATAGGATTCCACTTCATTTTTTAATCTTAATTTATTTATTTTTGGCTGTGGTGGGTCTTCGTTGCTGCGCACGGGCTTTCTCTAGTTGCGGAGAGCAAGGGCTACTCTTTGTTGCAGTGCTCGCGGGCTCTAGAACACAGGCTCAGTAGCTGTGGCGCACGGGCTTAGCTGATCTGTGGCATGTGGGATCTTCCCGGACCAGGGCTCGAACCCGTGTCCCCTGCATTGGCAGGCGGATGCTTAACCACTGCGCCACCAGGGAAGCCCCCACTTAATGTTAAGTCAACTTTGTTTCTGCATTTTTCTACAGATTTTCCTCTTTTAACTCCATCCTCAGGTGTCCATGTTGGCCTGACTAACCTGATCCCTCCCACCCCAGGGAGACTCTGTGTTCTCATCCCCAGAATGGGATGTTTTGATAACAATCACAGGGATGATGCAGTTAATACAGGGGGAGCTGTCAATACTGTGCTACAAACTTCCCTGAGATAGTAACACATGTAACCATCGCCCACTGCCAATTCTACTCGTGAAGCCAGAACCTTTATTCTGCTGAGGGCACTCCCGTCCCACCTCTTGCCACAAGTCGCTGAGGCTTGGGGATTCGGTCTCAGCTCCAGCCCCAGCCCTCCTGGTGTCCTTGGCGCTGCCTCTGACTCATGTCCCTGCTCTGTTCCACCCCAGGGGGAAAACGTGTGCACAGGGGACAGGAATGAGACCTGCATGCTGTGGAGCGTCCAGGCAGGCAGCCTGGAGAAGCTGGTGGGAAACCTGGTGCCTGCCTTCCTTGGCGGGGCCCCCTCTGACCTCCCCACATTCCTGGGCACCTACAGGGCCTTCCTTACCATCCAGCAGATGCTGGAGCTTCTCTTCACAAAGTGAGCACTTTCCCCACCGTGGGACATTGGTGACTCGGCCACCTTCTAGCTGTGAACTGTGGGAACGTCACTCCACCTCTCTGAGCCTCAGCTGGCCCCTCTGCACACTAGGGTAAAGAGAGGACCAGCCCCCTACGGTGACTGTAGAGACCAGCGGGTCCTTCACGGAAAGTGCTTTCTGGGGACCTGGCCTGTGGAAAGGGCTGCTGGAGGGGCCGCGGTTGTGCTAATTCATCATGTCTCTCCTCCCCATGAGGAAGCCTCCGCCTCAGCTGTCACTGTGCCTCTGACCTTGGGATGAACTCTTTTCCCAGTTGAATGGTGATGGGTGGTTCCATTAGGGGTGCCCTGTCCTGGGTGAATGAGAGCAGGGATCCCTGAGGGCGAGCAGTGGGGCCCCAGGCCGCTCAGATGTGTCTGAAGGGGCTAGTTGGCCTCATTCATTCTTCATATAGAGGAAGGCCACTAGGTGCAGGCACTTTTCTAGGAACACCCATCATTTAATGCATCGAGCAGACATCAGTCCTGCCCTCCAGGGCTTCCGTTCTACCGGGGGTCACACCGTCACACCAGCTATCACATCCAGGTGTGTCCTCAGGACAGTCCATGTGACGCCTTCCTGGCCTCCTCTAGATATGGATGCACGCTCCCTTACTCTGATGAGTACGGTGGACCCCTGCACCAGCTGAAAATGTGAGTGGGCTTTGATTCAAGAGGGAGGGACTCCCTTCTCCAAAGAACTGCATGGAGATGTGGGGTCTGTAGATGGGCAGGGCTGGCAGAACCCTGGATCCCACACATCTGATGGTTCATGCTGAGGGCAGAGGTCCGAGGGCTTCTCCTGGAAAAGAGGAAAGGAGTCCAAGAGAGCTGGGGCTGGGGTGCCGCGAGGAGCATCCGGGGAGTCAGAGGTCAGAGTCAGCCCCTAAGAGAGTACACACCTGGCCCCCCTCCATCCCAGCCCTGCCTCCACCCCCCCCATTCTGGGATCCAGAACACAAGGTGTGGAGAGCATCCGGCTCACTGTCTGGTGGACCGTTAGCAGTGGTGCTCAGCAGTGGTGCAAGTCCATTTTTAATATTTTTATTACATATACTAAATTGTTTATTCTATGATATAAAGTTCACTTAGAATAAAATTTAATAGTTTGATTATTTTAAATTGTACATGTAAATGGCAGTAAGTACATTCACAATGTTACATAACTCCCTCTAACATCTATTCGAGAACATTTGTACCCTTTTGGTCGCTGAATAATTTTCATTCCAGGAACACACCACATTTGGTTTTCCTCACGTCTGTTGATGGACATTAGGACGGTTTTACCTTTGGGCTCTTGTGAATATTGGTGCTCTGAATACTTGTGTACCAGCATTTGAGTGTCTGTATTCACTTCTTTTGGGTATTGATTGATCTAAGAGTAGAATTTTGGGGTTGACTGAAAACTGTATGCCTGTCCTTTTGAGGATCTGCTCAAGTCTTGTATACAGTGGTTTTAACCATTTGACAATCCCCCAGAATTTAGGTGTACTATTCACTTCTTCATCTATGTTGCAATTTCCTCTCTCGCTCTCTCTCTCTCTCCCCCTCTCCCCGCCCCCCTCTCCTCTCCACCTGGTCCCTCACCCTGGGGAGCAAGTCTATATGTTATGAGATGCTAACTGAAGAGGCCCCCGTGGCCTGGCACCGAGGGAGACCAGTAGACAGAGGAGCACCTGGGTCCTGACTCAATTGAGTCCACAGCCCCAAACCCCTGGGAGACACTGGCAGAGGCCTCCAGCTGAGTCCTGTTCAATTCCTGGCCTACAGATAGTGTGAGATAACGTTTGTTGCTTAAGCCACTAAGAGTGGCTAATGCTGTCGCACACAGTGGATCACTCACACGGCCATCAAGCACCAGGCCCTGGCCCTGCCCTCCCTACTGTCCCCTACTGTCCTCCCAAGCTCCCACCAGCCACACTGGCCCCCTTCTGACTTCCTCTCTGGCCAAACACATTCAACTTCTATGTTTCACACACTCGTGCCTTCTTCTAGGCTGATTATCCCCAGATGTGTGCAGGGCTGGCTCCTTCTCATCTCACTGCTGGAAACAGACATGTCACCTCAATGCAGCCTTTCCAGACCCCCTCACCTAGTGGACTCCAGGACCCCGTGTGGCACCCTGCTGTTTTTCGATATAGAACTTGCTGTTTTCTTTCTTTTGTTTCTGTATTTTTGGTTTTGTCTATTTTCCCTTCCAGACTGTGAGCTGCTAGAGGGCAGGGACCCTGGTGGTTCTTTTCATCATGGCCCCCATTTGAGTGCTCAGGGCACAGCTGGTGAATGAATAGATAAGAGGCTCCGTCCCACCACTAACAAGCTCAGATGTTAGAGGTGGATGCTAATAAGAGGTACAGGCCAGATCAGGGGCAGGGGAATGTTCAGGAGTCCAGGGGACACTCTCCTGGCCCCAGTTGCTCCAGTAGAGCACACTGGACACATCATTCCCCCTGATGGGAACCATTCATACTACACACCAAGCAGGGAAGCCACAGCAAAAAAACATACCTTTGTTTCAGATAATTCAGGACAGCAACATTCCTTGGGCCCCGGAATGTTGGGGCCCCCCCGAAAAGGGGCCATCTTGTCCACATTGGCCCTGTGGTGTCCAGTTCCCTTACAAGGACTCCTCAGCACAGCCAGCGCAGCGGTTCTTGCCTCAATTTCAAATGAGGACCCTGATGGTCTAACAAGAGGGAATATCTTTTAGTCCAAGGAAGAGTGATCCAGGTTTCAGTTATCGTCTTTCTTCTTTTCCATTTTTCACCATCCAAAGGTCCACTCCTTCCCTGACTCCATGCCCCATGGTCCCTTCCTCTGATGTGTGAGTGTCGGTGTACACTTGTGTGGACATGCAGAGGAATCTACTCCACATGTTCTGGGGTCCTAGGAGTTCTAATTCCAAAGCAAGCCCCGTGGCAGGAGGCAGCCCTAGCCTAGGATGTCCAAACTCTCCCTTCATCTCAAGACTCTGCCCCTGCCCAGTGCCCTGGGTTTTCCCTGCCCCTTTCTGGCCGTCAGTTTTCCAATTGTACAATGATGGGTTAAAAAAAAAGACGTTCTAAAGCCTGCACACAGTCTGACTAGCCTTCCACATCCCTGGGCTGCGTATGTCTTGGTGATACGAGCACCCTCAGGCATTCCTTACAGGTTGGAGTCACCCCAGTGGCTCTTGGGTCCCTCTGACCTGCAGCCAGGAAGGGGTTTCAGCCTCAATTAACCTTGTGCACTGAGGGAAAAGGGACAGTTCCCCAAGGTGTGCTGAGGCACTGTAAGTAATAGAAGATGACATGGATGTGGACCAGGTCAAAGAATGGGATCTTCAGAATAGATGAGCCACCTTCAACCTTGCGACTGCCGTGGTACCTACGAGGAGGTTTCTGAGATGCGGATTGTCACGTCAAAGTTCATACTGTGTTTCAGTGCAAAACCAATAGTTCCCTTAATATTAGATTTCCGTATTATAACAGAAAACCCAGAACAATACAGGCTTAGACAAGAGGCAGAGTTTTTCCTTTCTCATGTAAAAAGACCTATGAACTTGGACAGTCCTTGCTGACCCTGAAATGCACATGATTATAGTCAGCCATCATCTGTCTTTCTGTTCCAGTAGCTTTTAGGTAGTGTCAATCCTCAAGTCAGTCTCCTACCCCAAAATGGCTGCTGGAGCACCAGCCTAGACCAGCCACCATGTCTTCATTTCTGAGGCAGGACGGAGCAAAGATGAAGGGCCACAGCGCCCACACAGCTGTGTCTGCACTGTCTAAGCAGTCCCCAAAGTTCCAGGCAATCTTTCTATTCACAACTGATTTGCCTGAAGTTTGGCCACTCTGAGCTGCTAGAGAGGTTAGAAATTAGAGCCTTGAATTTGGTGAACTGCTGTCCTCAATAAAAGAATGAAAACCAAGTGTTGATGACTAGTACTCTTTTCCTACAGTAAACAGCAGGATGAAGAGTTAAAGATGGAATACTCTTCAGATGAGTTGTTCATTCATTTCCCCCACAACACATTCATTTCTCCTTGTTGTTTCTTCATTCCCAGAGAAATTAGAGATGTGGTTTCTAACCAGGATATTCAGGTATTAAAGATTCTTTCGATTCCTGCT